GAATGACATGTATAGCCACCTTAAAAGGAAATGGGAATAGAAACTTCATCGGCCAGTCAAAAGAGTGGCCTCTCGATAGATTTCCGGAGGGGTAAGTACTTTCGTGTCTTAATCCTAACTTAAAACTAAACTTTAGCCTTAATGTTACCCCCAGCTCTACCGTTAAATTAAAACCTACACTTAAGACGAATCCTAACCTCAGCCTTTAACTTAATCCTAATTGTAATCTCAACCTCCATACTACGCCTAAACTTTATTCCAGTGCCCACTTGGGTCGTAAACCTAATTTTCCGGAAAGCCACATGTATTGTGAGCGAGCCCTATCCATGTGTCGTCCTTCTCAAAACATAATGACCTGTGCATTAGGATAGTGTCCTCCAGGATACCTCTGTTTTCGTAAACTGAAAGTTTGGCGCATAATTTACTACGAAAGTCGAGAGGCCTTTCGGAGAAATCGAATTTGAGCAGGGAATTTTCAAGCAGTTTATAATATTCCTTTGTCAGATGGAATGAAAAATAGAGAAATTGAGATGAGGAGTGGTCACAACGGGACAGGACAGACAGTACTATACTTATTTTCACGTGCGAGGGGGCGGGCACAGATTCATGATAGGCTTGTGAGTGGGGGTGGGAGAATGAACAATTATGGGGGTGGGAGAATGAACAATTACAACTTTCCCTGTCGGAAGAGAGGAGTGGAGGGTGGACCATTTGGACGTTGGGTGGCTGGATTAGGGCAGGGTTCAGTAAGTCCTGAACTTCGGCCCTCGTACTGGGCGTACACATCGACATAGTGGTAGATACTGCCCGAATGGCAGTGCCAATGCTCAAGAATGTCTCTCGTTCGTTTTGTATTGGCCATTTAGACGATCTCAGTGTCATCCAGAGAGAATATATGGTCCAAATTGAGTGCGTGCACAAAGACCAGGGGCAGGGTGAGTTTACCGATGGAGAGCTAGTTGGTGTAGGCCAGCGTACATACAAGAGCAAATAGCACGCCGAAAGCGGTACACTTAATTCGTTTAATGCGCTTCTCGAATGACATCCTTTATTCGCTGCGTGTAATCGGGACGCGGGCTTCGGGACAGGGCGGATACTAAAGCGAGGTAACTGCCGAACGATGACTTCAGAGGTTTCGTGCATATCCTGCAGGCCCTTTAATTTTTGTATTGCAATGTCTTCGCTGTGGGTGAGGCGTCGAAGTCGTTGTGCCGACCAAGCTGAGGTTTCCCAAATAATTAGTCAGAGAGAGAAAGAGTAGGCGGGAACGGCTTCTTACTGTGTGAAAGGAGATTTTGGAAGGGCAAGGCCAAGTGCTAGCTGTCAGCTTTTATTTCAAGCCAGTTGTTTCAGTTTATCAACGGGTGAATATACGAACAGACCAAAGGGACGGCGACAGGTTCCCCAATTTCCAGCCTAATCGCAGCACTGGTCTTACGGGAGCTGGCAAATGTCGCCTTCAATCAGTTTAAACCTG